TTGAATTGAACTGAATTGAATATTCAATACACAGAATAGGCCGACCAGTACTGGATATTCTAGGCTGGTAGTTATATCAACATTGGGAGTTTTAAAAAATATGATAAAGATTCATCAGTAACATAAACTCATAACCTAAAAAAGCAATCTTGAGAAATGTGTTAATGTATTTTTTTCCAGAATTGTGACCAACACACATACTAAGCAGTGTGAAAAGCAACTTGTCAGTGCTCTCTGGTGGACGAACGTATGTAATGGAGGCACTAACCTAAATTAACTCAACCCTAGTTCGGCACTGCTGTAGGAGAACTTTTTGTTACTTATAAGCTGACATATAGGCCAATATCAATGTATCGGCAATATGTCTGCTAATATCAAATACACAAATTCAAAGCAGGATTCCTGTTCATTAAATTGTTATTAAACCTTAACCTTTGGTGGTTTGAACTCTTTGAGAGTCTCATACTTCATTTACACTGGCTACATAGAAAGTATGTACATCAGCAGTGCAGGTCCAGTCGTTTGTCAGTCCCTCGGATGCATTTTAACAGTGTTCACAACCACACACTCCCAGTAGCTGCATAAGCTGAAAAAAAGATTTGAAGCCTAAAAAGATGCTTCAGGTTGAATTAACACTCCTAATTCATGGGAGCGTATCTATTCTGTGTGAGTGTGAGACTGAGCTTGAGGCTACCAAACCAATCCAAAGCACAGGGGAAGGAAGGAAACACTCCTCGATGGGATAAATCAATAACATTGAAGCAAATTCACACGCTCACATTGTTTTTTTCAAATTTCCAGTTGTCCTCCTGAGCTAGGATCTGCTCGACCACTGACATGGCCTCACGACCCTGTCTGACATACTCCTTCTCCTGGAATATGAGTGAGACAAAGCAGAAAATTGAAGTCATGAAACAGGTAAGGAGCATAAAGACCCCTCAGACTGATGCAGGTACCTGTGCAGTGACAGCTCTGCGTCCAAGACCCTCCTCATCCAGATCCTCCTCAGAGCCTGCAGACGCAAGTTCAGAACCAGAACTTAATTTGTGGGTTAAATGTACAAAAACACTAAATAACTAACCCATTACTGCACACGCTGACTATTTTTTTGTCCTTTAGTTGATGGTACAGTTTAAGTGTGACAGCAAAGGGGGAGAGGAAGGGGGAATGACATGCAGCAAAGGGCTACAGGCTGGATTTGAACCTGGGCTGCTCCTGTAAGACCAGGTGAGCTACCAGGGCTCCCCACTTCAGGCTGAGTAAACAAGAAGAGCTCTATAGAGACAAGCCAACATCACCTGCGACAGATTCAGGTGGAGAGTAGAACTGTCCGTCTGAAACAGCACGCGGGTAGATCATGGGGGCTCGTTCGCAGGCTGAGTTCACCGCCGCTAGGTAGGCTGAGGTCAAAAGACAAAAAGATTTCAAAAAAGGAGAAATACATTTTTGTCGAGTCGTGTTAAAACTCGCAAGGAATGTTCCTCTTACCTCTCTCATCATCGGCCTCCTGAGGAAGCACCTTGAAGTCGAGGAACCAGGTCTCCAGCCAGGCAACAACAAATGAAGTGATGGGTAAGACGTAGCCAAAGGCATTCTGGGACAGGAGCTGTGTAGAAAAAGAAACCATGTCATCTCGGGGCTGCAGGTCATTAAAGGTACTAGAAGTACTATTACAACTTCCACAACAGAAGAGGTACTTTCATTTTATTTCCCCGTCATTGAATGCACAAAGTTAAGAGAGCTGTAAAAATGTCTGTGATAAAGAACTTGACACTAAACTGCAGATCAAAATACCGACGACGAAATGTCTTTGATCCTTTGTGCTGCATAAAACAGTAAAATTAAAAAAAACTGTTAAGAGCTCATCAGCTCAGACCGCAGATTTACTGGCATAAATGAGGAAGTGAAAAATGTTCAGCTGGTTTTCAATATGATTGCAACACTCACACACTCACACTCACACTTATATATAAGTGTGAAAGTACAGAGGGGGCAGGACACTCACATTAGATATGATGACTTTAGCAACGAGGAAGACGCTGGTCACTAGGGTGGTAACCTGTGGAGGAAGGAGTTGTTTTATAACTCATGTCCAGATCTGCCAGTAAGAGAGTTTACATTATTTCATCAGTGTGTGTTTGACGGAGCTCACTTACCGCAATAACCCACCAATGCTTCAGCCGAAAAGCAGCGTAACCCAGTTGTAGACACAAGAATCGAAACACCGCAAGGAGCTGAGACAAGGAGGAAGGGACAGAAAAGGAAAATGACCTCAGGACATGTTGATTTATGCAAACATAGCAGCTCATTCAGATACAATAAATCCGACTTCATAACAATATAAACCTCCTCTCTTTGAAATACAAGTAGGAGGTTTAACATAAGTATCCGCTCACCGATGAGCGGTCGTTTAAGGGGCTCATCCTGATCATCCAACAATGAAAGTAAATGTACACAGACTTGGATTGACCCACTTACAAAGATGTCAAAGAAGGAAGACCTGTAGTCATAATGGATGACCTCAGTTTCTAAGCTGTCCTTGATTGAGCTGGAGATCTGCGGGAGAACAGAGTCCACATCAGAGTCAAACCATCACTGCTGTAAAGATAGAAACCCAGAAACTGTCTGAACACTCACATTCAGCTCAATGATCCACAGAAGGGAGATGAAGAGCAGATCGAACGTCACAAAGAGACAGAAGGTGCGGCGGACGTCAGAGATGGCTTTGCGCTCTGCGGGCGGAACGAACAGGTATGGGGAAGGGAGGGACAGCGATGTAGAGTAGGAAGCGTTCAAGGAGGCGATGGCGGGGAGGCTGCCCCCGAGCTCCCCATAGTCTCCACCCGGCATTCCTGCGGTGAGACAGGAAACTCCACCTGCAACACGGGAGATAAAGTTGGTGGACTGCTGGTTAGATTTAGGACCACTGTCAATCTGTACTGAGCAACATGGAGTAGAGAGAATAAAAAACACTTTATATTCAGTAAAAAACAGAAAACAAGCAGCATTGAAAATATATTAGATGATGTAGCTGTGAAATTCAGTGAAGTCATACGTAATTATTATTGAGGTTCAGAAACGGCAGCGAATCGACATCCAAATAGAGGCAAGATAGCCAAAACAAACACACAAACCCCAGTGTACTGAAGTTATCGGACATAATTCTGGCTTTCATTGGTCTGCACCTTGTGTGTGTGTGTGTGCGTGTGTGTGTGTGTGTGTGCGTGTGTTTGCAAAAAATAGATAACAGGCAGTAAAAACAGCAGATAAGCATCCTTCATTACTGTCACTGTTTTGAATGTAGTCTCATGACTTTCCATCAGGTTTATACGTTTATTATAATTTGATGCTGTTTTATTGTAAAGTTAATTTTTTTAAGTTTGTTGCTACATCATCTAAATAGATGTGGTTAAGATAAAGATCTTATGACGGTAGTGGAGGTGTCATTGCTGGCTTATTTCCTCCCTGAACAAAGAACCACAGTCCTCATAATGATGCATTGAAGCTCATGTTTCTCCATTGTAGATGTCAACACAACCAACTCCAGACTTCAACGTGCACACAGAATATTGTGAAACCTTGTGCCCTGCAGGATCCTTACAGATTTACACACAACTTATTCAACTATCAGTATTTGTTTATTTTTAGTTCTGGAGCATTTGTTGACTTCAGGTTTCTCTCTAACAAGAAGGGAGTCTGTTTTCCTCACTAACAAGTTGTGTATTCAACTCCTCGTAGACAATGAACTTAAAGTGAAACAAGTGTCTACTTGGCAAACTGCATTCATCCGCGTTTAGACAGGAACTCTTTAATATTAAGATGATTTAGTTTCAGCTATTTCAGACCCCATGATCTCTCTCACTTTTGCTAAAATAACAAACAACTGTCTGACTTCAGCATCTGTGAGGCAAGACAGCAGACAGCAGGCAGGCAGACAGACAGACAGACAGGAATCACCTCTTATAGTTTTATAGTTAGTAACTCTAAACCAACATTGATTAAACGAAGATTAGCTGACTAACTAGCCGCGGATGTTAGCTTCCACCGGCTATTTGCTGTTTGGAGAGAAATCACACACGTCGTGTCTCAAGTGAACAGCTACAGGAAGAAACGATATGAAACAAAGAAAATAAAGATCATTTAACGCACACATTACATTTGCGTTAAAGCATTAAACTCACTTGATTTACCGCAACATCGTCGCCTGCCAAATCTTCCGGGCTGACCTTTCAAAGAGTAAATATCGCGCCAAGATGATTCACTGCTCGACGATCACCGGACCGCCATCACTGTGAGTGGCGTCACTTACCGGATGTCATACTGTGATATTACGTCTGACTTGACGTTGGTGGAGTTGATGGTACATTCAGCGGTGTTTGGCGCCCTCCAGTGGGCACAGTCCGCCACTACAGTCCCATCCGCTTTAAATGTGCTTTGAGTGGGAGAACTAAATGAAATAAATAAAGAATAATAAATGAAAATAAAAACAATCCAAAAGTCCAAGTTTACTTGTTGAACAACTGACGTTGTTTAAGAATACGACGGAGTATTAGGGCCATACTAAGAGGACAAATAAATAAATAAATAAATAAATAACATTTTGGAAATTAAGAGAATAAAGTCGTAATATTACCAGAATAAAGTCGTAATAATACGAGAATAAAGTTGTAATATTACGACAAAAAGAGTCACAATGTTATAAGAATAGAGTCGTAATAATACGAGAATAATGTACAAAAGAAGCAATTTCCGTATGGTTCTTTTTTCGAAACAGACACAGTCGTTTGCACAATCGTTTCAAAGTCCCGATACTGATAATAATTTAATGCTGATGAGCCAAAAGATTAAGTATTTCCTTATTTGTGAAACCGATACCAAAGTATAACTTCACAAGATGCTCAACATTCCTCATTTTAACGCAGCGGGAAGACTGCTCTTTCTTGTAAGAGTTCTCATAAAATTACTACTTTATTCTCGCAATATTATGAATGTATCCTGTAATATTACGACTTTTACGACGGAGTGTTATTCTCGTAGACCTAATATTATGACTTTATTCTCGTTTTTCCTCTTAGTATGGCCCTAATACTCCGTCGTAGTAGCTGTGTAGTGTCTTATAAGTGCATGTTGTAGTGTATTAAGTGTGGTGTTTAAACCATCAGGTGTGCCTTTTTCTTACATTAACAAAATATTATCCTTACATTGTAAACCTTTAGCTTTTAAAACCTGCTTTGACAATATAGTTTGTACCTATAGTCGTACGAATAAAGCCAGTTATGTTTTAAGAAATTGAATCACGTAAGCTATTGTGTCTTTAAAATAATAAAAGGTTATAGTTAGTGTTTAAATTATGGTGTATAATGCCCTCTGGTGGACATAGCGCATAACTACATCATTCCCATTGTAAGTTTTATTTTGAAAGCACAACCGGATGTATAACTATGCTATTCTGTCTAGCTTGATAGCAACATAATGTAGTTACTCAGTGTGACCGCTAGAGGGACGGACAAATGACAGAAGCCCATATTATTACTTATTAGTGTATTTTAAGATAATAACTATGATAGTCTGCATTATAAACACATGTTGACTTCAATACCATGTAGTCAGACACAAAAGCGTAGCAATACTTTCCAAATAAAGCCTCTATAATTGACCGAAACGGTCTCATGGTAACCATCAACTTCACCAAGAGTAAAGACGGATACAAAAACGTCACACAAAAACTTCCGGTAACGAGATACAAAAATAAAGCTTCGAAATTAGTCAGAAGTGTAAATGTGCGATGTTTTAGGGAAATAAAAATATCAGCTCTAAACACTGTCGCCATTTCAAAGCCGAAGTGCCGTAGCAAGATTTATCGTGTCTGAAATCAACTGGTGAAAAAAAACCGGACGACCGCCAGCTCTGTCAAACAAAGCAAGAGAGTAAACCGTATTGTACTTCCGGGTTGGTTAGAAAACAGAATATGGCATTAAAAAAGCCTGAAAACAAGTTTTTAAGCCAGATGTACATCCCCTACAATATAATACAAATACATTATATTTCACCTATGCACTGCAAAATGTTTAATCAGCAAAAATATGTCTTTAAATCATTTTAAGAAAATAGACTGTGTCCCAATTAGCGACCAAAAGAAGCAACAACAATAACAAAAAAAAAACAATTGGAAATTATAAGTACATAAATAAATAAAAATAAATCTACTGGCCTACTTATAGTTATTTTATGTTTTTTTAATGACACTTAAACCGCATTTGGTGTACCTTATAAAGACAACTTGATGTGAGTTTTGCTTTTTCTGTATCTACATCTGTAAATATAAGTACAGGTTGGCTATCAAGTACTTTCTGGTTTATTTTGCACCAGAAAGGCCTTTTTTATTTCTGATTTCATATGGGAATTAAGTTAAGATGAAGCCATGTGTTTAACTGATTATTTTAAGAATCATTCTTCTCTATGTTAAAAAGTTTTAGTGTTTGTGTTTTATGGAGAATAGGAAAAAAAATTGTGCTGCAAACACACACCCACCCACCCAC